GCATTTAGGCGTTACGCTTAGATTTAATCTTTCATGGCGTTCTCACATTTTAAAAATCCATCAAAAAGTCTCAAAACGTTTAAATCATGCTTAAACTTATGAAGTTAATATTGACCAGGAAAACACTTAATACTTTGTATAAATCTCTGGTTCGTTCATGCTTGGAATATGCAGATATTGTTTGGGATGGTTGTATCGAAACTGATAATGATCTTCTTGAACAACTCCAGTATGAAGCAGCTAGATTGGTTACGGGTGGTATAAAGGGAGCATCTCGTGAAGGATTGCTTAATGAAGTGGCATGGGTCAAACTGAAAGAAAGACGTACCTATCATAAGTTGAATATGATTTATAAGATATTTAATAATCTTACACCATCCTATTTACAGGAACTCTGTCCGGTCCAAGTTAGATCTATAACAGCTTACAATCTCCGTACTCCGGAGAAGATTATATCATATCCCACATGCTAGGACTGAACGTTTTAAAAAATCCTTTTCAGTCTCCTCAATCAAACTTTGGAACACTTTGCCACTTGACGTTCGTAGCTCTCACTCATTAGCTTGTTTCCAAAACAGCTATATAATGAAGTGGCGTAAAATGCCAAAAATCAATACCTTATTTACCACTGGAAATCGCATGGCTTCTTTATTGCATACTCGATTTCGTTTACGTAACAGTACTTTAAATTATCCTTTGTTCCTGATGAACTGTGTGGCCTCACCAATGTGTAGTTGTGGTTTAGCAAATGAAACAGAGCTCCACTTCTTCTTTGAATGTAATCGATTTGCTGCTGAACGTTGTGCTCTTCTTGCTGCCGCTGAACAATTGCTCGGTACTTTATGGTTAAACTCATCAACCTCAATGCGCTTTCAATGGTTTTTATATGGACATCCTGATGTAACTTTATCAATTAACGTTAAGCTATTTTCACTTGTGCAGGACTTTATTATTAATTCTAAACGTTTTGGTTAAGATTTATAAGTGCATGTGTAGATAATATTATGTGTTATTTTTGTGGTGTTATGTTAATCTTGTTTTGATGTCCATGTTTCTGCCATTCGTCTGTTTATCGTACTTAATGTGTCTGTTCTGTGTATTTTACTCCGAATGTGATGTCAATTTTTTGTCATTTAACCTTGTAGTATTATATTGTATGACAAGATTTCCCAAGATAAGTAAAAATTGTCCTTTTTATTAATTAAATATTGTTTGAATCAAACGTGACTGACTCACTAGGACGCCTCTGGCTGCCACTATACAGCTGTGGTGAAAGGGTCTGGGAGAAAAACCGTATGTAGAAGCACAAGAAAGAACCAACTACAGGGGGCGGATCCATCGTTTTGGATGACCAGTTTACTAGGTCCACACAACCTCTTGGGGGGTCCGGGGGCATCTCCCCCGGGAAATTTTTAAAATTTGGGCCTCTGAAACAGCGTTTCCAGCGTTCTGGCGTCACTTTTAAAATTAGTTTAATCGTTGGAAAATACATGTTTTTAAGAGAATTTGGACTAATATACGCAGCTCAAACAATGAATTGAATCTTTTTGGAAACTTATTAGCTAGTGATGAAAATATAGGATTGGCAAATCGCTGACGCGTCGATATTTATTATAAGTACAACAAGTAGAGATGCTTTTAATATAAATATAGTTGTAATTTTAGATCTATACGCTTTCAAACCAACTTTAACAATGAAATAGAAACCAAACTGCAAGACTTAGAGCGTGAAAGTTTCACAATCATTTCCCAATTCTCTATCGCGAACGCAATGATTCGGTCACGCATATATATTATTATAATGTTAGTGATGTAATCTTGATTCTTGACTTCCACAAAGAAAATTGCATTATATATGTGGTGTGGTTTATTCAAATAATTTCATGATACTTTGATTTTATTAGTGCCTTAAACATTTGAGAATGTAACTCGGCAAAACTAAAAGCTTTTCTGTCTTTCAGTTGAAACGTATATTATTGGAGTATTGCCTATTGGCAAGTTCTACCCTTCGCTTCTGAGATTTACAAACCATATTGAAATAATGCAAGTAAAAAATAGTGACAACTTATAAGCCACACATTTTCCAATAACGACAAAACGTGAATGCAAAACAATACCAATAATTACAATAACCACCACGGTGATTGCTTTTTAACAATGAGTTTAAGGATTAACACTGAAAAATGCAAAATATGCATGGTGTGCTGTGAAGAGTCGTACTGAATCCTATTGATCTACTGTAACTGTGTATAAGCCCTTTCGATACATGTAATTGTAAATTTGTATTCTTACATGCAGGGCTTGAAATAATAAACGTTCCCCGCAAAGTTCACGATCATGGTGATCGGCAGTCATGACTTTCCCCGCTTTTTTCAGGTTGGAAACCGAAATCCTGCTTTTCCGCCGATCATAAGCAATTCCTTGCCGATCGGTGATCGGTTGTTATTTCAAGCTCTGTCTTAACAATTTTGAATTGATGCTGATTTCAAATGATTAAAGCCATGAGTAATAATTATCCCATGTAACTGTTAGGAAGGGCGAAATATTGAACGGAGGACGAAACTCCTAAAGAAAAGGTGAAGTTTCTAAAGGGGGGCGAATTTCCTAAAGGGGGCCGAAATTCCTAGGATTTTCGCCCCCCCTGGGGGGGGGGCGATATTCCTAGGATTTTCGCCCCCCGGGGGGCGAAAATGTAGGGGGGGGGGCGAAAATCTTGGGACACCGGACTGAATTCTTCCGCAACCAATTTAACGGCATTGTATTGCAAGTAGATGCCGAATCAATTTGAGTTCTAATCACTCGATTTTTTCTTTTGTTAAGCAATGTTAAATTAGCAAAGAATTTCTTTGCACTGCCATTGTCTCGTCTTCGTTTAATTCATAGTTCTTCGTTTAATTCATCTTGAACTTGGTTAGCTTTTTCCGCGAGCATGTGATAACTTCGTTCACTTGTACAAACTCTTGCGAAATGTCCAAGCACTCCACATTTGTTACATCTCTTTCTAAAAGCTGGGCAAAATTCCTGTCGAGGTTGTTTATGTTGAACACCGCAATAAGAGCACATTCTTGTTATTGTTTGCTGTGGTATTGTGAAATCACGACGGTCACGGTTCACCGGCTGCCTTCGTTGGCTATTTGAATAATTTACTTGCTCTTGTTGACTTTCCCTAGCATTTTTCATCAACTTATTTGTTATTGTCGTTGCTTCATATGCCTTGGCAATTTCGACCACTTCACGTAAAGAAACTTTACTTCGATCCCCGTCCCTATGCCGATGTCCTTTTCCTATTAGTTTGACACGAAGTTGTTCTGACACTAGACCAGCAATAAACTGATCTCTCATGAGCTCATCTTCGAAATTTTCGTACTCACACTGGGCCGCTTGATTTCGTACTCTAGATTCCTATGCTCCAATGGCTTCATCGTCTTGTTGAATTAGTCGAAGGAACTTTTGTCTCTCTCCCGACACGCCAATACTAGCCCCATAATATTCTTTCAAAGCCTGAATAACACAATGTGGTTTTGTTTGATTTTCCTCGGTTAAACCCAGACTATATTTTAAAACTGTTCTTGCCGACTTCGTTAAAGATGCTCTCAAGCAAGCCATCGCTTTATCAGGTTTAATCCATTTTGCATCCTCTGTTGATTTTGACGGGTCATACCAGTTGTTCATTACACAATAATCGGCTAAATCCTCTACATACACTTCAATATCGCGTTTATCGTCTCCCGTTGACTTCAGTAAGGGACACGGCAAGTTTAAAGAAGCCGCCATTATAAACTTTACTTGGACAACTATCCCACAAAACTATCCCACCGCTGCCACCATGTTAAGTTGTGTATGAGTTTAATAACATAAAGAATCTATTTACAAGCAAGGTCCTTATATAATACCTAGAGATAATTTGCATATAGCACAAACATGTTCCTTATAATTATAATAATAAAACCTAATTAGCATGCAACATAAGTAACTATTAACAGTGGGAGTGGATGATCGAGGGGAGAAAGATCAGTCAACAGAATTCCAAGAAAGCATCACTAGGAAAGAGGATGGAAGATACGAAGTTGCTGCTCCGTGGATACCTGGAGCTGTATTGTCAAACACTAATGAAGAACCCAGTAGGAAGAGACTCCACAATGTAAACAGGAAGTTGAAACAGAATCAACAGCTCAAAGATGAATATCAGAAAATTGTTCATGAACAGTTGAAAGACGGAGTCATTGAAAAGACGTTTCTGCAGGTTGGTTTGAAGGAAGATGATCGAGATGCGTTTCGGTTTCTGTTTGACATCGAAGGTCAAGTAGAACATTTAAGATTTACCCGTGTGCCTTTCGGCGTGGAAGCCAGCCCATTTATGCTTGGTGCCACCCTGCAACACCACTTCAATCTGCAGCCAGAAGAGTACAAAAACACCATTGAGTCGTTAAAAGAGAACACTTATGTTGATAATCTAATGAAGACCGGAAGTGATATTGCAGATCTTGAAGATTTCAAACGCGAAGCGACAAAAATCCTAGAAGACGCGAAGTTCCCAGTCCACAAGTGGGAGTCGAATGTTGAAGAACTTGATAACGAGTCAAATCCCAGCAAAATACTCGGACATAAATGGAATAAGAAAGAAGATACACTTGAGATTCGAGCAGAACCTACAAAGGAAGAAACATCAGTGACAAAGAGACATATTCTTAAGGAAGTCAGTAGCATATATGACCCTTTGGGAATAATATCGCCGACCATGGTTGAAGGAAAGCGCACGGTATAGAGAAGCGTGTCATGAGAAAGTCGGCTGGAATTCCGAAGTATCTACCAGCAAGTCCAAAGATTGGATAAAATGGCGACAACAGTTAAGAAACGTGAAAATCGCGAGAAGTCTAGCAAGGGTGATTCGAAAGGTGAAAGCCATACATTTGCATTTATTTGCTGATGCAAGTTTCACAGCGTGCTCGGCGGTCACTATAGCAGTAATCAAACATTCAAGTGGAATAGTTAAAGGTCTTCTTACGTCAAAGCCCAGAATTGCCAAGAGAAACACTTTAATTTCATTCCAAGGCTGGTATTAGTTAGCGGTCAGATGGCTGCCAATATGGCTAAGAATTCGGTTGCCGCATTGAGAATATGGCCAATTGCATCAGTTACAGTGTGGATGGACAGCCTGGTTGCTTTGTTTTGGATTGCAAGTCCAGAAAGATCCTGGAAAGTCTTTTTATCAAATCGGACGCGGAAGATTGCTGAAATTACGGAAGAAGTAGGCATCAGTTGGAAGTACTGTCCATCAGAGGAAAAATTAGCTGATTTAGGGAGTCGGGGAGCTTCGATCGACAAACTGGAAAAGGACGGTTGGTTTAATGGTCCCGAGTGGCTGGTTAACCCAGACAAATGGCCAAAACAACCAAAGCTCGAGAGAACAAAGACTGTCGTGGACGAGCAAAAGCCGATGACGAAAGTAGCTTTCAATACGGAAGAAAAAGGTCCGGACGAATGGGACTTGCCACTTTCTAGATTAAGCTACTGAGGGACTATTCGTGTTACTGCGTGGGCGTTCAGATTTGTAAGCAATACAAGAGCCAGAAAACTAACCTAGCGAAAGGTCCGCTGACGACGAACGAGCTAAAACAGTCGAAAGTGCGATGGGTGGAAGACACGAAGCACGAGCACCTGGATGGGAAGTCATACGAGAAGGTGATTCTGGTTTACTGAAATGTAAAGGTCGAATTCCCGGGTATCAGCCGATATACTTGGAAGGAGGAGACTTTACGGACAAATTGATCACGTCATTTTGGTATCGCGAACACGATGGCCGCACTAAGAGAGAACTGGTGGATTCCGAGACTGCGCTCGAAAGTTGAAAGGATCATTAACGAATGCAACGTATGTAAAGCGCACCGAATCAAACCATATGGTCGTACAGCAACTGCCAAACTACCTACTTTCGAATCGAAAGCGGACGAGCATTTGTAACAACGGGTGTTGATTTCGCGGGTCCCCTCACATATAAGCTTACCAAGAAAGAAGAAGGCAAGTGCTACATCCTAATATTTACGTGTGCTATATCCAGAGCCGTGCATCTGGAGTTGACGAAGACACAATCCGCAGAGGAATTCAAAGTAAAGCTAAACGCCTTCATCGCAAGAAAGAGCAGACCAAAGTTGATTGTGTCGGACAACAGAGGAGCGTTTAAAGCGACAGCGTTATGGATCAGAAAGATACGTAAAAGTGAACGACTGCAAGCCGATGATTTGGCAAGACAAGAGATTCGGTGGAGATTCAATCTATCCAAGTCCCATTGGTGGGGTGGAAAGTACGAACGCAACAGTGCGCGCAAAGCAGGCTGGTCATTTCCCATTGTTTAACTGCCCCACACTCACCTCACACTCAAGTAATCACAAACACTCACAGATGTTGCATCCGTGAGTCAAAAATTCTCAATGAGCAGCGCGCTAATTTTACTTATAGTTATAGCCATAATATTATAACACAAACCACAACTCCACGGCATAATACAACATGGCAACATTAAACTAGATCAATTTCTTCATCGAGGACTTAATGGAGAATTCACAGTAAATCTCACGTGGTCGTTCAACATAATATCTAGCATCTCAATTTTTAGATATTTTGGGGATGAAAAAGCAATCCTGAACCTGTTAAGTTTATTATAATACGAATGCACATCAGTGCCGTAGCAAGCTCGATAATTGGGGGATTGGCATATTGATATATTCGTGTTCATAGACCATAAAAACAATCGATTTCAAAAGAAATTAATAACGCAGAACACGAATATATGAATATGAGCCCCCCACCCCAATTATCGAGCTTGCTACTTGCACATATATGTAAATCTTGCATTAAGCTAAGCCCCACTCCCAGGGACGGGCTTTATTGCAGGCTTCATGCACAACTTAATAGGAAGGAGCTTCGGTGGCGTAGTCGTCAGAGCAAGAGCGTTTCACCTCAAGTTCGTGGGTTCGATTCTCGCTACGGCCTCATGTGAAAATGATCTGTCGAAAGTCGTGGGTTTTCTCTGGGTGCTCTGGTTTCCTCCCACAGGGAACGTTGACACGGTGGGTTAGGATAAACATGCACAGTTACAAAAGTATTATCACAGTTGTTGTAAAGATAATAATAATTTTAATAGTCTAGGCTAAGTATGTAATTAGGTAAGCGTAATACTTGATGTATCCACATGTAAATTTCTGCTAAAGAAATGCTAATCGTAATGTTAATCAGATGCTAATGGTAAGGGGCGCGCGGCGATGTAAATTACATGAGGATTTGTGGGAGAGGGGTGGATAGTTTAAGAGGGGTGGATAGATAATTTGCAGCGGTATATCATGTTATTGCTTAGGGTTTAAGTTTCAGTGTTGCGAATGCTGTCAAATATTGCACCATTGTGTTCAAACTACCACAATTTTAACCAGGATCTGAACGCAACCGTCGGGTTTATTCAGGTGCTGGATCGTTAGTTTGACCATCCCAATAGCTACAACCTTGTGCAACATGCATGTATATGTTTCAAACAGTACATGCAACATGACCAACCATACATGCAACCGACCCATCGAATTTTCAACCAAACAACCATTCGGTCATCATTCAAAACAAAGTCCAACTGTTATTCTTTATGTAAGGATGTATACATTTGTTTTGTTGTGGCAACGTTAGTGGTAACCATGGTAACATTAATTTTTTCTACCAAAAGAGAAACACAATCGGAACATTATACTTGTTTTTACGATAGAATTTTCAATCCCTGAAGCATATATAATATATATTTGTTCTAATAGGCAGTAGGCTGTTTGCTGTGACCTCGAAAAGTGCCTAGAAAACGATTTTCATTTAGCATGTCTTGGAAGTGAAATATTTTTACGGGAATTAACACTTTCGAACACGCTGAGTTCAAATCCGAAAAGTTCCCGCACCGTAGACCCGCAATTTTCTCAGAAATTGCTATTTTATCTTCGCGAATTTCACAACAGATTTTTTCATTGTTCAACGACACGGATCGATGACGACACACGATTATATCACTCAAAACGACTAATTCCTATCGTGTTCCTATGAACCAGTCTCTACATTGAACAAAAGACCGTTTTGCTTGGATTTTTATGAGTTATGTAATCTATGCGTGTTGGACATAAACAACATATCTTGTCTACAACTTTGAGAAGGTACAGATAACGCCTTAAGGTTTAGAGTATTTCTGGTACCCAAATATTATACATGTCTGATCAAAGCATGCGGCAATCTATTTCCCTAATTACCTAATCTAGTTCCTTCAGATATCAATTTTAGACCTTTCGGTTTATGCACATGTATGCATATAAATCTGAGGTGTTCGATTGATTGTAAAAACAAATTATTTAGTTTGACATTTTCAGGATACGACGACACAAAGCCGTTTAGTTCAAAAGACAAAACATCTTGCTACACGATGAGACGAAATATTAAGAGTAGTTCATAACATCATCTCTAATTCTTCCGCAACGATTGATTATATGCATATATGTATAACATATTATATAGTTAATTCTGTACATGTTTAATAAGAGATAGTTAGCCGACTCATGATTTTTTCATAAAATGCATGCGTGTATACACGAAGCTTGTTCGATCCCGATTAATGTTTCACTGTGGCCACCGTTTATTGTTAATTATAGCCTAAAATTTGCTGCGACGTTTTGAAAGTGTTGAGACAAAGTTTAATTTAACCATCATCTCTGTGATTTTTCCGAGACGACAATTTGCGTACATAGTAAGTTCTTCAAAGTCGCACTGTTTCGATAATTTTTTGGCTTTAAGAGCTTTGTCATACGCATCTTTTAAAAGTTGTGGCGTTTTGTAGATCTGTTGCTCCTGTTGTTGATCCATCTGTTGTTGTTGTTGCTGTTGCTGTTCCATCTGTTGTTGCTGCTGTTGTTGTTGTCGCTGATTAAGCTGCTGCTGATACCACTGGGCCAGACGTAGATCACACTTTGCAAAGATACAGTACGTTCGTCTATAATTCGATGGCAGGAAACCTTCAAGAACCAAGTCTTTGTATGCCCTGAGATCACTTAAGGCTGCTTTAATATTTGACGCCGTTACTTCTGACAAATTTGTACCTTTTGCAAAATTCCCCAAGATGGTTATGGCGCGAAAGATGTGAATTCTTTGTTCCAGGTCAGCGATCATTCGAGTAAACTCCTGCTCGACACTCGAAGCTTTCGCATACTGCAATGCTTTGCTATAATGATTCAACGCAGACTTTTCCAGCTCGACGTTTTCCTCTCCCTGTAGTTGTTGTTGTAGTGAAAGAAACTTTTCAACAATGGCGACGTGGTTGAAGAACCAAGCAGTAAGAACACCAGGTTGAATCTGATCAGCCAATTGTTGACCTTCTTTGGCGTATTTGTAGCTCGATGTATAATCACCTTTGGCACGTGCGATTGCACTCTTGGCGTAGAGCATTCGAAACTCAAGAATTTTATGCTCATCGATGTTTGGACGATTTTTCAATGTCGCTTCAATTTTGGCAACTATTTTTTCCGCCGTTTTCATCATTCCACGTTTGTACGCGACAACACTTTCAACGATCATAACGAACAACTCGGTTGCTGTTCCAACGTGCTGCTTCTTTATCGACTTCGCAAACTTGTTAAACATGTCATAGTTCGCATCGTTTTGCAACTCATTAAGACGAAAAATAACAGTGAAATATTTTCTCTGTGATGTGGCAGAACTCCACTTGATACGACTAAGCTGTCCTGGAACTGGTCTGACACCAAAGATAATTCTGCTCCTCCAATCTTCAAATGACATCAGCTTTACTGCTTTGTCAAAGCCAATGTGATAACTCTCGGGCTGTTGAACAAACACTCCACCAGGTAACGCTTCAACCGAGATCTTTATGATAAATAAGGAAGCTTTCTCGTTATTCTTGTCATCTTTGACAGGTATAAATTCTATATTCCAATGCTTGCCTCTTTCAATCGCTTTTTGCCAGATCATTTTGTTGATCTCCTTTGTCACCTTCGCTTCAACTTCACTTTTATCCTTTCCTTCTAGCACCTGTCCCCGTACTATGCTTTCATTTGATATGCCATACAACACATGTCCTCCAGATTGGTTTGCAAAAGCGGAGATAGTTATAATAAGTTTGTTAGTTTTGTTAATGATTCGATCTGCAATTGTGGTCTTCTTTGATTTTTCATTTAAAAGATACTTAAATTGTATTGAACCTGACTCAGTCAGCGATATCGATTTGCCAAAAATAAACTCGTTCACACTTGAAAGATGATTTTGAACTCCTTCGCTAGAGAAAGACACACCTTTTATTATTTTCTCAAGAGCTTCATGATCACATGGTGAGATTTCTTCTACTTGTTTAGTCGTTGGGAGATATAGATGATACTTCATTGTAAATACCTTATCTGAGTTACTTATCTCATAAACATATTGCTTGTTTTGAATCTTTGGCATTTTCACCAATTTGTTTAGCCACCACAATGACATGAAATGTTTCAAACGTTGCTCTATCGCTTTTATAACTTTATCAAGTATGTTTTCAAAATCAACCACGTCTTGATTTTCGATATTAATGAACAACTTGCCGCCGAAGCTGTTGAGTAGCGCACACACACCTTTGACAATTTCCTCGCATTTCGATGTCCAGTAAACCTTATTCATGCTTTTATTCATCTGTTCCAGGGCAACGGAGACTTCTAAATAGTCCCCAGCTTCCATGTTGAGAAACTTATCAAGTTGGTTCTACAATAAAAATAATAAATGAAAACGTATAGAAAAATTAAGTTAAATGTACTGAGAAGTAATAACGAGAGTTATAAGCTGCATATAACAACTCTTCTGTCAAAAATTTGGTAGAGATCAGAGAATTAAGTTTTAGTAGTTTGTACATGGGATATTTGTAGATGGAATTTTGGAAGGAAAATTTGTGTACAGTAGATGGGTGATCTGCACGCCAATTGTTGTTTTAGTTGTTGAGTATATATGAAGTTCAAGTACCTCAATCAACCTCGATCTAATCTGGGTTTATGTATTATTATTTATTAAAATGGCAGAGACACACGATAGTCACGATCACGTGGGCTTGATTCTACTCAGATATAAAATCATTAACATTTACACTTATATTGATGACAATGTAGCAAAATCCAGTTATATATAAATGAAAACTTGGTTAAATTTAATTTGTAATACCCTTTGAGAAACAATTACATTTTACGTGGAACATTTTAAGTAGTGACCTCCGTAACATGCAGAGATATCGGATTGTTTGCTTTCAAATCAGGATTAAAACAATATTATACTGCGCCGGGTTCGCCATAATTGGGGAAACTGTGGCGAATTCCCTGGCGCCACATTGTTGTAAATAACTATAAATATAGATAGTGCCAAATCTCATTAAAATATTAAAACATCACTCTAAAAACACCATCTTTTAATGATTTGTATTACTTTGAACAAAATTTTAGCAATTTCTATAAACCGATGAAGTCATAGAATATTACCAATCACCATTGCCTATCCAACCTCGTTCCCAGGCTTTCCCTCTTGTGGAGAGCGAAGAGCCTGGGAACGAGGTTGCTTGCCTATCCTCCATTGCCCATTGGATTTTAATAACTATAAATCCTTAAAGATGCTGTAAAGTCCGTAATGTAAACAAACGCTTTGTTTACATTTTGAACTGCTATATTTTGGTAAATGAATATACTGGCTCTACGTTTTAATTTTCGGTGACAAAAGCACTAATTTATAGAACTATATCATAAAAAAACTGGAGCAAACTTCGTCACAGAGGTGAAAAGAGCATGCAAATCACTAGCCAACAAACACCAACATTTTAACAAGTAATTAACTTCATGTACCTACTGTATGACTGACTAATGGCTTGCAGCATGTACGCAGTGTGTACCTATTTTTTAACTATATAACTACTGGGGGCATTTACCCCAGTAGGCCCTTTGCTTGCCCCAGTAGTGAAGCATGATTTTCAGATTAGCTGGGCCATTTTGATATCACTAATAAAAAGTCAACCTTGTTGAAAAAGTTGCATCTGCCTCATAGAAACAATAGACATAGCCGAATGCGTGCTCCTATTTTTTCTCAGTAAAAAAATTGTCTCCACAAAATGGCGCATTGAAAAGGGCATTTTGGTTGGTGCCAGACTCCTGAGGCAGGGAATTTCGCGCGGTTGCAAGGACTACAGAATAAAAAGGTACAGCAGAAGTGTAGCTTGAGTCGGTTCCTTTATTGTTTTACGTCCACGAAAATTTTAACTCGCTCACGCCATCCTGGCTAGTACAACCGGAAGTTTTTATCAGGTTTTGGTAGGTACAAAGTGCTGGTTGTACTAGCCAGGATGGCGTGATTGATGACGAATCGCTTGTAAAAACTCGGACAAATACTTGCTTGAGTTACACTTCTGCTGTATCTTCTTATTCTGTGGCACTGGTAGGGAGTGCGAATTGTTTTTTCAACTGAAAAGTTTGCAAAAATTTTATATCGAGACTTAAAATGGAAAAAAAAAGTTTTGTAAAAAAGAAAAAGTGTCTAAAAATCCATTCCAGTGGGCTTTTTTTACAAAAAGCAATAGTTCTGAACAGAATATATGCAGAAATCGTCGTTTTAAAATAAATTTCTAACGTTACGTTGTTGTGCAAGTCAAAACAAAACACGAAAGATCAAGACAAACTCAATAGGTATGTTCTACAAATATTTCAACTCTTTTATAATATAAATGGAGTTCAATAATCTTTTTACTTACACAATTACTTTTCATATTTTTCTACGTTGCTTGAGCTTGAGGCAACGCTTTTGGAACCATAGTTTTCGACGATTATTTTTTGGCAATTTACAGTTTCTCGACAACTAAATATTTTTGTTTCAAGAACATGAAAACACTTCGTTTAATACATTGAAGAAAAACGAAACCCGACAAAGAAAGAACTATCATTTTGTAATCTTATAAAATATTAGCAAAACAGTTACTTTCAGAGCATGCAAAAATGTTAACGTTTTATGAGTAAATTATTTTTAACCGTTTTGTAACTGCACATTTGCTTTGACAGTATGTGCCTTCAAGGAACTCAAAATAAATTAATCTATCCCCAAACTACAAATTAGACAACAAGACAAAACGTTTTGACGATGAAAACATAGTTATAATTATAGCTTTGTTTATACGTTGTAGTCAGTGGTTGTAGTTTGCACTCCTGGCCAAAATTCAAAATGGCGCATTCAAAAGGGTACGCACTTGAAAAAGTGGACTAGACATGATTCGTCATCAGCGCGAATTCTATGTCTATTAGCGAGCTTAAGCAAGCGACGTTTTTGACAACACGGACGGCATGAGTAACGTCAAAAGACTGGGTCAAGAATGTTGATTGGTTGATAACGTCAAATTTGCTTCCGGTCAACTTTCGTGTTGTCAAAAGCGTCGTTTGCTTAAGCCCGCTATTATAATTTCTATGATCTGCCTGCTTTCTCATATTCTCTCACATTCTCGACATATTAATTAACTCGAAATATTAATTAGCGTTTGAAATGAAGTTTCAAAATCCCCCCCCCATTCAAATAAGGCTATACTATAGCGCCGCTCCCGAGCACACGATGATCTTTATGTAAGCGTACCTGTTTGCGGAAAAGGTCCTCATTGAGACTTAGCCCCAGTAGTTGTAATTTACTAATTTTGTAAAAAACGCCCTGTCGAAACTCGACAATTACCCAAACTCCGAAAACATCGCACTTTTTTTTGGGCGAGAGGAAGCATTTGATAAACGTAGTTGTCACTAAAGTTTGCTACAGGAGCGAGCGAAAGGTTTTGTCACAGCGAAAGAAATTCAAGCGGAGTTAAACAACTTTATTTTAAAAACATGTTTATTGAAATTGCCGTGATATGGAACAATTTAATATCAGATTATTTTGAACACTCCAAAACCTCTTGTTTCGGTAACAAAAGCACTAATTTACACTTCAGGAATACAATCGCTTAAACACTCGTGAATACATCCGCAAGGAAATACAATCTTTTCTTTTCTCTATTCCTTGCTCCAGCACCAGCGAATATTTTTATTGCACCGAACAAACTAGCGATATACAAATAACAAAGTATTTGCTCATGGGTCTTTAATACCCTCCAATATTTTTCAGTCTCATATTGAAATCTTTCTAGGAAAAATTTAAAACTAATACAGTAATAATAACAGAATTTTGGTCAAGTTCTCCATTTTTTGGAAATACATTTACATGACTAAGTAACTGATTACGATTATATCATTCAAATCCTTATCTCATACCTAGCGTATTAGCGGCTTTCCTATTGGCTACGAGGAGGTGCGTTTAATCTCGAACCCACCTGCTGACGTATGTTTAGGAGGGGGGTTCGAGATCGATGTTTCGGCGGCGCCCATTACGAAGCTTTTTGAACAAATTTCAGACGAAGATTCAAATAAAAAAAAAAATTAACTGTCTTTAATTGTTTTATAATTATTATTTTTTTATTTTGTTTCATGAAAATGGAATATCCTGTTACTTTCTGTATTCAAAGGTGGAAAATTTGTTTGCGTAGTATGTTGGCGGCTAAGATGTTCGTTATCCAAACAAGAAATTATGTACTAAAATGCGTAAGGGGCCATTCACAAAGGATGTCCGAGCCGAGGGGGGGGAGGGGGGTTTGGAAAATAAGGACAAACTCGGACATAGGGGGGGAGGGGGGTTTTAGCAATCTGGATGTCCGAAATTTAAAAAAATTCGAAAACAAATTTCTTTTTTCCCTCTATTTTGAGCAGTCTTTCCCATTGTGAAATTGGCATTTTGACTATGCGGTTAACACTAGATTTTGTTTTAATTAGTAATTTATATGTTTTTGTGTTCACATTTACAGTTATAAAAAAGTTCTAAAAGTAAAAGTTTTTTACTCTTGATATATACAAGATTGCGTGAGTTTTTGCGAGGCATGGCGGATGTCCGGGGGGAGGGGGTCACTAATTCGGACAATGCCGGACAAGGGGGGAGGGGGGTCTGAAAATCCATCATTTGGCCGGACATCCTTTGTGAATGGCCCCTAAATTCTTCAGTGCTTTTTATCGAAATGGCATGTGATAAAAACCAAACATACTTACAGGTTCGGTGAGTCCGGGATTGGACGCACCTCGGGTGGCTGGAAGTTTCCCGAACCAACCTCGCTTCGTTCGGGAAACTTGCAGCCACCCATGCAGCCCACCCTCGGTGCGTCCAATCCCGGACTCACCTCCCTGCAAGTATGTTTATTATAGTATTTATCTATGTATGTAAAACTTGCCACATACCTTTCTAGTAACGCATGTTATAAAAACTTCGATGGACTGTATTATCGTAATATTTAATATAAACTCAGGACAAAATTGAACATATTACACAAGACATATTACATCTCGTCATCTCAACGTACAGAAAACGTTACTTTTCGCGCCATTTTGCATATATTAAATTGACTATGCCACAGCGAACCCTAACGATATTTTTAACAAAACATAAGCATACGTCACATTCCCCCTGTTGGACGTGTATCTTCTATGGCCAACACACTACGACTGTTCGTGAAGTTTCATTGGAATGTTCTTAATTATATAACACTATGCAGTATATCTACAACTACCCTAAACCTGGTTCATGTCCTTAATCCAATGTCTTATCAACAGTTCACCTGCGATCGCCGCTCTTCTTCTTAGTCTTTCGGATTCAGTTGACTCCTGAGCACCATTCTCTTGTTCTGATTGTACTTCTTCTTTCGCAAGTTTACAGTTAATCTCCATAAGATATAACAGCTGTAATGGACACCTTAATGTAGTAACTTTCCCTTTCTTGCTCATGACTTGTACAACTGCACCTCTCGATTTCCCATCAGCCGTGCTATTGACAAGTTCCTTTATTCTTCCAATTCTCCAGAAACTACGCGGATGGTTCTCGTCGTGAACTAGTACTATATCTCCAACTTCCACAGAAGATTTCTCTACTGTTTTCTTAGGACTCTTATGTGCATTTCTCAGCTCTACCAAATACTCGTTTCGCCATCTTCGCCAAAAGTGATCAATAATGTCATTTAGATAGCGAACTCGTTTGTTGAGGTCATTCGTCGATAGGTCGACTTGAAAATCTTCATCTTCAGGGTTCTCTTGATGACGATCAGGTAAACTCAGGATCCGTCTTCCGCTCAGAAGATGGGCTGGGGTGAGGGGTTCCTCGACGTCCTCGGAGGATACATAGGATGAAGGTCGACTGTTCAGGATCAATTCTGCTTCCGTGACAGCTGTAACTAGCTCGTCATAAGACAACCTTGGCTTTCCGATGGTTTTCTTCAAACATTGTTTCAATGATCCTACAAGCCGTTCAAAGAAACCTCCCCACCACGGGGCTTTCTCCAGATTAAACAACCACTGCATTCGCTGCTGCAAGAAATATTTCTTCACTTGAGGATCACGCATGAGTGTCATTAACTCTTTGGACACATCCTTACAGGTTTTCGCGTTGTCCGAAACGACAAGCAATGGCGTCGCACGTCGTGACGTAAATCTCCTGAAACTCCTCAAGAAGGCTTGTGATGTCATGTTGGGAACAACTTCGAGATGTACTGCTCTAGAAACACAGCAGGTAATCAAACAAATCCATGCTTTCTCGTCTAAATCGTTCGTAGATTTCACATATAAAGGACCGACGTAGTCTAAGCCAACGTACGTAAACGGTGGTGCTTCCTTTACTCTAAACTACGGCAATGGCGGAGAGTTAAGTGCCTTGTATGCTCTACCATCTTGCTTCTTGCAGGTGAACAATTGAAGAGGAGTTTTCTTACAAAGTTCTTTCCACACACTAACCAGAATTTCGACCGAAGTTCTGTCAATGTTGCCCTTACTCCTCCATGCATTACCCGCTCGTGACAATCCCGTACGATTAGCGTGGTAAGGTAATGAGCCGTATCTAACAGGATTGGATACTTTGCTGAATATGGCAAGTTCGAGTTAGATAGTCGTCCCTTACATCGGACGGTTCCATTTTCATCAGTAACAGACCGAGGTCTCGGTTCCAGGATTTGAATTTCTCGTTCAACTTTATTTCCTCCTGCAGTTCCTTGATCCATAGAACTCGAGCTAATTCGAAATTCGATGTCACTGCTTGTAACTTCCGAGTTTGTTGGAGGATATTCCTGTCTAACTCTCGATTTTAGCAGCTTGATGAACTTCAAGACAACAGCGGATACTCTCAGCAAACGACCCAGGCTACTGTCGTCCTTACAGTTAATAACATTGCTTATGGAATCTTTCGATCCATGCACTAACATCGTTGAAAGTGTCTCCTTGTCTAAAGCTCTCTGGTCCTTGACTTTCATCTCAATTCGACACTCTATAGGTACAACATCGTTATCAATGTTCTCTTTAGCAGGGCTCTCTGTGGCGGACAACCATTTTGGGCCAGACCACCACAATGTAGATGATGCTAGTTGAGTAGGCAGGATACCCTGTGACAGAATGTCTGCGGGGTTTTCTGCACCTGGGCAGTGACTCCAATACTCTACAGGAACCAGCGCTCTAATCTCTTCCACTCGACTCTGTACGTATTGTTTCCATTCCTTCTCTTACTGCGTAATCCAATATAATGCAACCTTAGAATCCGTCCAGCATTGCACCTTCGAGATTTCAATCACAGACTTCAGGGCTTTCTGAGTAACGTTCATTAATCTGGCAAGCAAGAGCGCTGACAGTAACTCCAACCTTGGGATCGTTTGTTTAGTTAAGGGTGCCACTCTTGCCCTCGATATCACCAACTGGACATAAGAGGCATTTGGTGTGATGATTCTGAGGTATACTACGGCAGCATATGCTTTGATAGAGGCATCGCAAAACCCGTGAAGCTCGTAGGATACAACTTGCTCGTGTATGTCAGAAATATAGCATCTCGGAATAATAACAGGTTGGACCTCCTTTAGGTTTTCAACTAATTTCTGCCAGTTGCATTTCAGTGTTCCTTCAAGTGGATGGTCCCAGTCACCCTTCGCCAGACAAAGTTCTTGAAACAATATATCAGCTCTGGCTATGTTGCTTCCGTCAGGTACATTGTTCACTGTCACTAGTTGGTTGGTTTTACATATCCGCTCTTGGAGTTCTTTAGAGTTCGTGGTTATCTTTCACCAATTAAAGTTAGCCTTTGCCAATCGGCTCCTTGAATCTTCATAGAGTTTGAATGCATTGTCCAAATTTTCACCTCCAGAAATAAGATCATCCACATTGATCGAATTCAGAACAGCTTCCACGAAACTAGGGTCATCTTCCCGGTATTGCTCGATGTGGTGTTTGACCGTGGCGTTTAGTAGAAAAGGACTGGAGGATACGCCAAACACTACTCTGGTGAATCAACATGGGATAATCTTAGGGTTTGGGCTGTGTATATCATCGAACCACAAAAATCTCAATGCATCCCTATCAGACTCTGCTACATGAATCATGAGAAAGGCCTTCTCGATATCTCCCGTTAAGGCCACCTTGTATGCACGGAACCTTAGCATGATGTCAACAATGTTCTGAGTCAGCGAGGGACCACTATACAGACAGTCATTAAGCGAAGGTCCTCTTGACTTCACCGAGGCGTCGTACACTACTCGCAATTTGGTTGTTGCTTTATCTTGATGGATAACTGCGTGATGAGGTAAATAGTGCACTCTCTTGGCTCCTTCATTTGGCTCGGGCACACACTCCACGATTCCTTTGTTAAGCTGAACTCTTATCACGTTGTCATATTCCTTAAGGACTTCTGGCTCATTACGCTGTCGCTTCAGCAACCCTAATAGACGTTTCTTGCTAAGATCATAGTTATCAGGCAGTTCAGCATGATCAGGTTTCCATGGAAAATTGACCACATAATGATTATTTTCATACTTAATGCTTTCTAGGAATTCTTCGTACACACACTGTGGTTGAATGCCGAGAGTTTCTAAGTCCAAAAATCTCTTCAGTTCTTGTACAAGGACATCATTCTTACACTCAACTTCTTCGGAGGCACATTTGAGGGTGTGGATTGTAGCAAGATTGCTGGTGTGGGTTAATTGCCGCGGTTCGTTTCCAACAGGCCCAGAGAGAACCCAACCAAGCCTCGTTTGAATGGCAGTCGGACCACTATCTCCTTGTCTGGTTTTCCCGGTCACGATCTTCCAGTAATGATCTGAACCGATCAGGATATCCACTTTCGCATCGTGTTGACCAGATGAGTAATCAGCTAGGTGGAGGTTGGCGAGATGAGGGTAGGTCTTGCTAGCATTTGACACGAATTGGTTCTTTAATGGCTGACAAATTGATGGCACAGTAAATGCTAACATTTCAATGTTTGCTCCATAGGAAGTTTCTATCCCAAGATTCACCACTTGAGCATTAGTCTCGCTAGAGCCAAATGTTTTTATGTTTACCGACCTTTGACCCTTTGACTGCAGACCGAGAGTTCCCGTCAGTGCACTGCTGACGTACGAGCACTGACTGCCGCCATCCAGGATTAGTCTCGCATTGACCTTGGGACCATTAGGATTATCTGGGTTATATATATTTGCTCTTGCGGTTTGGAGAAGGACACAGTTCGATGAGGTCGTGTGACAGACAGTTGCGTCAGGATGGGTTCCCAAACTAGGACTTTCCTTTGACTTGTTGGATCCGCGTTGCCCATGTCCCTCAGGAGGGTCCCTAGGAGGTGGTGGAGGTGGCTTCTTACCCTTACATATGCTAACATGATGTCGCCCCTTACACGAGTAGCACCGTATTGTTGACTTGCAATTTGGACTGATATGATCCTTTCTTAGGCACACAAAACATCTCCCCGTCTTCCGTAAAATATCTTGACGAGTAGCAGGACTAGTCACAGTTGTACAGTCTTTTGATGGGTGGGACCCCCTGCAGTAAGTACAACTTGGATTAGTACCGGCCATCAATGCTGAGACTGAACCGTGATATTTCTTAAAATCCTTGTTGATTGCAGGTACTTTAATTCTCTCCCTGGCTTCTAACTTTTGCTGCAAGGTATTTAATAGTTTGTCCAAATTCCATTCGTTTTCCTTAACCACTCTGCTAACAACCAGCTGTAGATTTGTTGGTAGCTTCGACATTAACATTGAAGAAAGAAGACTACCATAAGATTCAGGGGCTACTCCCATAGATTTCAAGCTTCTGATGTGTGATTGCACCGTATCATGAAGTTGGCGCAAACCCTTCAGGTTGTTTTCAGAATTAACTGATGGAAGATTTAACCGAATATCCATATGTCGATTTATAATTTGCTGTTTATTCCCAAACCTTGATTTCAAAATAACAATTGCCTCTTCATAATTAGCATTAGTTAAAGACAATCCAGCAATGGATTCAGCAGCAGCTCCGTCCATGAAAGACTTGAGATAATTGAATTTATCAATCGGTGCCAAGGAGGGATTGTTGTGGATAGAAGGCTTCAAATGTATCCCAGAATGGGTTCCATTCACTAGGATCCCCAGAAAACCTTTTAAGAATTAATTTTGGCAATTTTACTTGTGCTACATGATTGATTGGTTGGACAGCTGGATGCCCCCCCCCAGGGTTATCGGGTGATGCAGGTGGTATGGTAGGATGCTCTACTGTTTGGAGTTGATTCACAGTTGACATAGAAGGCCGACCCAAATTAAATTTGGCGTTCCATTTTCATTTGATGTACCAAGCTGACTTGAATATTGATTCCGTAATAACGACGTGCTTGCAGTGCTAGCACTAGAGCCTTGCATTTTGAGGTGATGTGGGGGCTTGACTGGGTACTGGTGGGGTGTTACTTGTTGTATTTTCAGTCACATTCGATAACATAGCTGAACTAGACATGCTGGAGGTATTAAGTGCTCTTTCTACATTTTCTAAAGCCAACTGCAAGCCTTCTCTACAAATATCGCACTGTTCTACTAGTTTCTTCTTCAATATTAGCTTCATCAACTAGTTCAAGAATTTCCTCATCAAGCACCTTTAAAGTTTCAAGTTTTTCTTTCATGCTAGTTTTAAGTTGATTCAGTTTAGGCATAATGTTCTTCCAGATTATTTGGGTCAAAAGAAACAAGTACTTCACTCACCGTCTTTTGAAGTCGTGTGGCGGACGCTCGATGAGCCCCTCTTAACTTTTTCTTCCTCGATAAATCCGTGCTCATATTTATACTAACAGCGTTTAAATACAGAGACAATATTCGTCCAAAATCCACAAATAACCAGAAAATATAGGCTATATAAGAATAACTCCAATAACCTAGCCGTTAAATCTTTTAACAACAGAAGTTCTCTATATAGCCTCGTATCTCCACGATTATACAGTAAATTCTCCAATAATTAGTGTAGATCTCACGCTACTGCTCAATTTTTGTTCAAATTCCAGACTCCAACTCGAAATGTTTTTAATACACCACAGGCTCAAATCCAATATTCTCCGTGGTAATATTTTTAGAATTGCTGGTAATCCGGCTCTCAAAGGACCATGTTATAAAAACTTCGATGCGGACTGTATTATCGTAATATTTAATATAAACTCAGGACAAAATTGAACATATTACACAAGACATATTACATCTCGTCATCTCAACGTACAGAAAACGTTTCTTTTCGCGCCATTTTGCATATATTAAATTGATTATGCCACAGCGAACCCTAACGATATTTTTAACAAAACATAAGCATACGTCACAACGCAAGTATTTGTCACTTTTCTTTCGAATCACATACCGTTAACCGTTTGGAATATTGATGATAACAATTTTCAAAATTTTTTAAAAAAGAGACAAGTCCGTTCTGCGCAGGCCTACATTCCAATGGTCGGAACCCGACCCGATTGGAATGTTATTAATATTTCGCACCTTCCGAACTTTCTTGAATTGAATGATTTGAATCTCTAGTCTGTATTCATTTACAAGCATAGCGAACCAGAAGAGTGTTAAAAATTCAGTATAATATATATCTGATCATATTTTACAACTGTATAGCACTGAGTTCAAAATGTTAACAAAGCGTTTGTTTACATTACGGACTTTACAGCATCTTTAACAGTATTTTGTCGACCATCCTGTTTGCGTGATGGCCGCGCGTGGTTTATGCGAATCAAATATCACCCGGGTGACATGATTGAAATCACCGACACGTCAAATATGATGACGTAAGGCGTGATTCGATGACAAAAGTCATGCTTACGTGGCACAAACTTAGCTTTTTGATTAGACTTGAAATAAGTTTCCACTGCGACGATTTGGTTTCTTCGCGCGTCATGCGCTGCTGAATTGATACAGTAAGCAGATTCTGACTGAGAGCTTAAAATTTAACCTTGCCAGTCCTGTCTAATCTTTTTTTTATATAATACCTTATTGAGTTCTGATCGTTTAATTAGCTGTTTATGGTCACGTGATATTGAATAGAAAATTCCATTTCCCAAGAGTGCAATGGAATACGTTCCATTGCACTCTCTGCGAGTGTAATGGAATAAAACGTATAGTACAATTGCACTCTTTGTGTTTTCGATAAATCGCATCTCTCAAAATGCTTCTCATACGAATCTATTAGTCTATTTTGGTATTATATAAAACAAATAATGAATGTTTCTTCGTGCAATGGTAAGAATATTTTCATTCGGTGAAAGATGGAACGTTCCATTCAACTCGGCTGTCGCCTCGTTGAATGGAACATTCCATCTTTCACCTCATGAAAATATTCTTACCATTGCACTCATAAACATTCATTATTTGTATAATATATCTTACAGATACGGGTGGCCCTAACTCTTCAGCTCAAAAGTAGCTGCTAGCTAGCTGTATATTATAAACTAAAAATCACCTTTGCCTACAAGTGAGGCGCCATGTAAATCATTGTTCCCCATAGTATAGTAAGAGCACAGAATAAAGACACACAAAAAGTCGACTCAGCCAGAAAAGCGTAACCGCTGCCACGCCATGATTCGTCATCAAAATGCTGACGCCATGGTCTTAGCCAGTGTGCTTATGAGAGGCATTCGGCCCCTGGAGGTCCGCCATTTTGAATATTATCAGGGGGGTGAATGCCTGTCATAAGCGCACTGGCTAGGACCATGGCACGGTTACGCCAAAATCACAGGAAAAACCAAGAAGTCGGGCTTCTGTATAGTCTCTCTTCTGTGGTAAGAGTACAGTCAGAGGAGTACAGTGAAGACAAGTGTAAACAAAATGAGCTAACATTGGCATGCGTGAATACTGTCGAACCCTTTTTATTTTTGCGTTTTTAATTAATCTGAGATACATATATATCTGAAAATATTACCCCCACGAGAACATTAGCGATATTTTTCAGTTGATAAAGTTCGGTTCCTGTACCAGAATCTGGGAATTCCCAATCTCGTTCCAGAGGGGAATCCTGTACCAGAATCTGGGACTTCTCAATCTCGTTCCAGAGGGGAATTCCCGTTCCGCTATCCAGTCCTCCTTTGTTGTGAAAATATACAACTCAGCAAATTGTTTTGTTTAATATGTTATTTTTGCCCTATGACACACTAACATAACGCCACATAACACTTGCAACATTTGAGGTCGTTTGGGGTGTTTTATATATACATATTTAAATATATATATAAGGAGAAAATGTTCTCGAGTGATATTAATATATGCTTTAGTAATACTATTAATATATGCTTTTGTGGAATGCAAAAACGAAAGTATAAACTTGTTTATGCCATTGCGGTCGTAACTTCCCAGTTTTGCTAATTCGGAATGAGTGCACTCATTCTCGTAGAATCTTGTTTCTTGGAATATTTGCAAATTTTCCAGACAACGCCAATGATTTCGTTTCTTCGACTGGTCATGCCGCGTTGCCATTGCTCAATTAATAATACACGGTTAGTAAACAGGATAAAGACTTTTAAATGAAGACAATCACTCAGAGCTTAATTTAAAACTTAGCCTTGCCTAATCGTTTTATATCCTACAGATTCAAGCATAATTTCGGCAATTTGTCTTTCCGTGTTTAAACCTTGATTCCATGCCAAAACCTCACGTCACGCGACACGCGGTGTCTCGATCTGATTCTTTTGCCCAAGTTCATTCATGCACACTCAATCATTACAATAATACAATATCATTACAGACATTATAGTCGATATATATGATCTAAATATAGTCTAAAGGCAAAATATAGTGTAGTAGGCTACGCTTTCAGTCGCTAATAACAGTATAAATTCCTGTGGAAGCTCGAATAACGGCCGGGAAGGGATAACAACATGAATGTCTGCGACAATGGAAACAGGAAGGCTCACCTTGGCTTCCGAGAGTTCAGTTATTCCTTATTGAAGCCAATCCAAGCGATGCTCAGCTGCATGAGGTTGCTTCGTACAGCAATTGTCTATTTATGGCTGTCCACCAGACGATCTTGCTTTAGACTGAATAACTTTAGTGAAATCTTTGAATTCTACGCTCTTCGCGGAATACGTATAGTTGAATTGAGTGCACTGATAATTGAGTGCAAATTCGCGGGAATTCCCTGTTACTATATATATATATATATATATATATATATATATATATATATATATATATATATATATATATATATATATATATATATATATATATATATACTATATATATATATATATATATATATATATATATATATATATATATATATATATATATATATATATATATATATATATATATATATATATATATCAGTTCTAATACACTGATACAGGGTCGCTCCCCCCCCAAAAAAAAAACAACCCCCAAAAAACCCCATAAAAAACAAAAAAAAACACGAATCATCCGGCGATTGGCGGGGGCAACCAAAATGCAAAAAATTCCAATAAAATTAAATAAATGAATTATGAGTACAATTTTAAATCGGATAGAACTAGACTATTAAGTAACTTATTATAGCTAGCAAACAATAAGCAGTTCGTATGCATGTATATTGGCATCGGCAGTTCGATTATACACGTAGCTTACCGTATTTACTCGATTGAGCGCCGCCTCCGATTGAGCGCCACCCCCGAATGAGCGCCGCATTTGAGATCAAACTCTTTTCAGAGGGAAATTGCTAGATAGTATACTTCAAAATAAGGTTTCTGTTTTTAGATCAATTTTTTAAATAAGTTAGGGTTAGATTTGGGTTATGGTTAGGTTAGGTTAGGGTTAGGGTTACGGTTAGTGTTAGGGTATAAGGGTTTTGAGTTTTGTGTTAGGATGGTTTTTTCTACGTTATATAAACGGAAACCTTATTTTGAAGTATACTATCTAGCAATTACCCTTTTCAGAGGGTGGTCAATTTATCCCGGGCGTTCTGTGACCCCCGTCCGCGATCATATCAGATCATGTCAGCGGCATCTGGTAATTACTAAAATAACATCGCCCGAAGTTCGAAGTTTTATACTAAATTAAAATTCCAAAGGAATTTTATCGTTGAAAATCGCTGTGAATATTTTTCATCTACAGCATTAGAAAGTGGAAATATTTCCAGATGCATGCATGGGCTATCATCATTCGAATATTTACCATCAAAGAACAAATATGATTTTATAGTTTATTAGGTTTATAGTTTATTTTGTCTATACTGATACATTGCAAATTACATCCTCTGAGAAAATCCACAAACTAACCAAAATTTCGGTGTAGGTGATTTATCAGCGGTGACTTGAAGCGCATTGTTCTGCAGGGCCGTTGTAAACTAGCGATAATCTGTAAAGTTTGAGAGGGAAATAAAGACCTAATATAAATCGCCCCTGACTAATCACCCCCCACCAATCCTACGGTGGTATCTCTGAAAAATTGGGAGATTCACAATCGGGAGATCCGGGGACAAATGCCGAATGCGGGATCGCGAGAAACATATGAAAATTGCTTCTTGTTGTCGTCAGTCGAATTATTATTGTTTTGGTTTTTAGATTAATTATTCTGCAGTTGTGAATGATATCAGTTTGTTACAATAAATCCTCCATTTCTCTCCTCCTAAACTTAAAATTTTGCTGGTATCACACTTCCTAGCATAGTAATAAGTCTGATAATTTTTTTAAATTCCACTCTTTGCATGAAGTACTCCAAAATGTACCTCTTTAATTAAAGACATTTTTTTAAAAGCCTACTTCGGTCGGTAAAAACATAAATAAAAAAAATTAGGCCAGAAGGCAGAACTGGTTGGGTACCGTTTACCGTGTCTAACATGAAGTACGCAACGGAAAAGAACACTGAATGATGGCGAATGACAACAACAACCAGGGAAGGTCGACATCTTTCACATCTGGAGTCTACACAACATATTTTGGAGGTGTAAAAAAGTTATTTTCAGAATATTTTAGTTCCCTGGTCGTTCCTCGAGGTATGTATCAATATATTTGAGTTTGATCTTTGATCGCTACCTCAAACTGTCGTGATTTGTAAGTCCATATTTTCAGTCATTCGATATTGACTGTGATATTGCGACACATTGTATTAAATGGCTGCAGACTCCAAATTCAGAATGTGTACTTCAAAACTTAGTTGAATTAAGAATTCTGAAGTGACAGGCCAACTTCAAAAATCATTTGGACGTTAGCTAGCTGCTCCAACGGGCCATTCCATTTAATATACACCCCCCCTATGGACGAATTTCCTGTGAGGGGGTTGAAGAAGGCCGTTTCCTGGGGTTTTGTGCATCGGCATCCTTTGATCTTTGCGTTTTTTTTCTGAGGGGTAAGGCAAAAATTTCTTAATTTCTGGGGGGGGGGTGTTTGTGTCGGCACTTTGATCTTTTTTTCTTAGGGGTTCAAATTTTATTGACCTCGTACATAGGGGTGTGTGTATATTAAATGGAATGGCCCCAACAATCCTTGGCTAAATGGCTACCACAACATAAATAATATATCTTCAAGCATGAGGCATCAACCAGGCATGTTGCGACACAATTTTTGAAGTATCAGATACAGTAGTGCATTCCTACAGTAGTAGGTTTCCATCATAGGTTTCCACGTGATAATTACATTATTACGCATTTCTTATAAACATTTATTTTGATCGGTTGCTAATGCAAATAATTCTCAATATTGTATAATTATAATGATGTCACACCTGCAGATAATCATTTTCTACATGTAGATATGACATCACCTCTGCAGAGGATAATTCACAACCATAGACGGATTTTCATATTTATTACTGGGGTGGTGCCAGAAATTTTAGGGTGGTGAGCCGTGAGCAGGTGACTGAAGCAAGACAAAGTGTCACCAAACCCCAGTATGGTCTATATTCTAGGGGTGGAGCACTAGAGCCACGAGGGGGAGTCTAGAGAGCGGAAAACAAAGTATCCCAGCAAATATTTGAAAAAAATCATGATTTCTAGCTTCGAAAAAAAGTTTTTTGAAGTGGTCAATTTGTCATATCAATGGATTTGGCATGTCCGATTGTTTGTTGAGACTTGAGAGAGTTAAAGACTCAAAGTGAAAT